CAGTTGCCAATGAGTCAATCTATTTGACCACCAATTATCTAATATATTTGAAAGGGATCGCCCAATTTCTTCTTTTCTAAAAGCAAAAGAAGTAATATCAGTTACCGTTTTGTTTGTAAGCAGCAGCAATGGTAGTTTCTGAATGTGAGAGCTTTTGGGATGAATCATTCTTCTTCTGGGTCAACATGTCGGCGGATAGAGTACGTCGCAGGAAGGAGTAGGAGGAGGAAGAAGAAGCTCCGTTCCTCACAGTCAGAGCTCGGCTCAGAATAGTGACTCGCTTCCGCAGGAGCTCAGTGTCTTCATCACCAGAGACTAGGACATTAAGCCTTGAGCAGATATGCCCAATAATCCAACTACTTATCTGCATACAAAGAAAGACCAAAACTTGATCAGAAAAATGCCAAAATAGAGGCAAAAACCAGAAACCCAAGATGCAGGCGCCCACTGCAAGCAGAATATATAATATCAACGTTTATATTCTCAGAAACCAGCCAAATGTCTTGGAGCAAAAGCTCACTACGGGAAAAAGAAGCAATTCTGCAGAGAAGGAAGAAGAAGACGTCACTGAAGAAAGGTGGGTACAGCAGAAAGAATCAAGAGAGAATTCAATGAGAGAGGGAGAGAGAATCCAAAATCATTCACACTCTCTGCCTCTTTATGATTCCTCGTATTCCCCAAGCTTCCACATTTGGAAAGGACAAATGGAACCCAAAAAAAAAAAAAATTAAAGAAGAAACCCAGGGAGAAGGTCAGAGAAATTTGCCTGGAGAGAGACCACACTGTGAGTGCGAGTTGCAGAGGAGGGAAGAAGCAAGTGGTTGGATTGGGAATGAGTTGGATTGACCCATAATGTAGTGGTGAAGGCTAGAAAATAAGGAGAGAAAAACATGAAGACTGCAAAATGAGAGAAAACCAGAGGGCCACAGAAGTAAGTCGCCATGTTTGACTGAAGCTGCTGATCACTAGCTTCGACAACATTGATCTCTTTATTTTACGGAATTGACTCACTTGACATTCAGGGAATGCCATAATAGTCATCCTTTCGAAAATATTGGGGATGAAATTAGGTTATTTGTCCCTAAGAATTGGGGGATCTAAGCGCCATGGAGCTTAAGCATTGTAATTTGCAATCATAGTGGAGTTTATTTACCGTCAAATACACTCATAATTAATTATGCAGTACTAGCCATGTTAGACCCATCGCTTGTTTTTATTTGATGTTCTCTGACTTGATTGTTTTGCTCTCTCTTAATGGCTTTCGTTGACCTTTTGAATTCAACAAGGAAAGTATAAGATATTTTCAAAACGAAAAGATATATTTTTGAAAAGCCAAAGTCCTAAAAAATGAAGCATTTTTATTTATTAAAAACTGTGTACAGAGTTAAAATACTAAAAATAACTAAAATCATATCTTTATAATATACAAAGCCACTGTATAACTAACTGTCACTTAACAAAGAGATGGTTCAAGAAAACCCTATATTTCAATATGAAGCATTCAATTTATTTTTTTTAATATATTTTGAACAATTTTTTTTAGTTTAATAGATATAAATTTAAAATAAAAAATAATCTTATAATGAAGGACATTTTTATTAAAATACTATAAACAGTGAAAAATTACCTAAATACTACGCGGTAAAAAAAATATTTACAAAAATACTATAGTAAAAATCACTCATGCTGAGAACCCTATATTTTAATATGGAGGCAATCATATTCAAAGTATTGTCAGACACTAAATGTGAGTATTTTTCTTAGTAGGAATTCAAATCGTAGTTTATCACGTTATAAGGAATTAGTCTTTTGTGATAGACTCAATCCTTATTAATAAGATACACTCATTTTGAGGATGAGTGAGTTTACTAGCCAGACTAAACTGGTTAGATACTTAGATTCAACTACAAACCCACGAACTAATCATTTAGTCGGGCTGATCAGCCCTTGTAGACAGGAATCTTGACCCAGACCATTCTAAAAGTAGCCCATTTAACTTCCTAATTTGGTGGGTCAGCCTAGTTGTTTCCTTTTTTAAAAAAAAAGTTGCTTCGATAAAAAATGTTTTCTTTTTCTTAACTACTCCTTTTGGTCCTTTTTATTAAAAAAAAAAAAGTTGAATTGCCTTGAGGCTTACTACAAGATTATAATTAGAGTTTTCTGAATATTTAATGGGTTTTTATCATTTTTACTCCTGATTAATTTTATACATTGTATTAATTATAAAGTTAGCAACTTGACAAACTGCATTTTTTTTCATACTTTTCTGATTATTGCTCTATTTGTCTCTTTTATGTTACCCTTATAAATAAGGGCATACTTTAAAAAATATATATTATTTTATTACATGTATATTACTTTTAATTAATTTTAACTGTTTTTTTAAATCATTCAATTATCATGCTCTTTGAAGAAAAGGACTAGGGGGAGTATGAATAATTATTAGTTTAGTGATTAAAGAATTCTAATTAACCTTACCCAAAAAAATAATTGAAGACTAGAATATGTAGTCATATATTTATTTGAATATTAAATTATGGTTTATTTTTGGATGATATGATGACAATTTAAATTATTTTTAAATTTTTTAGTTTTATTAATTAGATTCTGATTTGACCTATTAACTCTTAAGCTACTGCCTTGATTGGCTTAGCGTTTATTCCAGTTTTTAGAGCAAGGTATTTAATTACAGTATTATATATAATGACCATGAAATGACAAAACAATTATTTAAATGACGTGTATTTTTTATTGCCTTCTGTGGTGTAGCTCATGATAGCTGTTTGGTTTGATGTGGTACTCGGATCATAATATGCTGTACTTCTTGACAATTTATGCATATCGCTCGTGCTCCACATTTACATGTTGGTATATAGACTTAATCATTTTCATTTATTATTTAACATGTGAATGTCTAATCAATAGGGCGCATCACATGTCATCATCATAGTATGAATTTATTTATCGTTAATAATGACGAATATTCATTAAGATTAAGCATAAAAATGCTTATAGATTATTTGGCAATAAAGTCATCACATGACATTAATGAAATTTGAATTGTGACCGTATGAGTTGCTTGTTGGCATATTTATTTTAGCTTAATGTTGTCTAAAAATTAAGTGATTTGTTTTGTTCATTTGCTTTTATGTCCGTTGTAAATTAAGGATTATATGAGTATTGGGTCAAAATTCCTTTTAACTCATAATTGACTCACCAGATGGTAATTTTATAATTTCTGTCAAAAGAACAAAAAAAAAAGGTGGTAAACACATAACTTAGTGCAAAGAGTTACTAATTAAACTCGTCTCCATTATCATTCTTCTTATGATTCCAGCAATTTCTGCCCTAACCATTGAAATGAATAGGAACTAATTAATCTTCATCGTTTAATTGAAAAATTAAATAGTTTTAAGAAAATCTTTATTTTCCTGCCATTTCTTTTTCAACCATTTAGTTTTATTTACTTTTTTTAATTTAAAGTACAAAAGCTAAAAACTGATATTAAAAACGCAACCTTTCATTTCCTTAAAATATAAAATGTTTGACTAGTTTTATTTAGAATTAATATAAATTTTAGTCCTTGAAATTTATTCTCATTTTGATTTTAATCCCTCAAATTTAAAACTATAGGTTTTAGTCCAATATTAATCCTTATAATTTTGTAAAAATTTAGACCATTTTGCTCCTTACGGAACTAAAACCTATGATATAGAACTTGAAATATTAAAATTAAAATTAGCACAAATTTAAAAAACTAAAAATTATATTAATTTTTTTATTTATTATATAGATATGGTTGTTGAGAGATGACTTTGAATGATGGGACCCTCGAGACTTTTCTATCATGAAAGGACATAGTGCCTGATTGGAGCCAAGTTTGAGCTTTTATTAAGTGACTTTTAAGTGGTTTTTGGCTTTTAACATGTTTGAGTGTGTTTAAAAGAGTTTTAAAAATTAAGAGCTTATACTAAAATCACATACTTAAGTCAAAAGCTAAAAATTAAAGCTTATAGAGTTGGAAAAGTGGAGAGAGAAAGACAAAATGTGGGTCTCATTTTTTTTACTCAAACAAACTTATTTTTATTCAATTATAATTCAAACAATTTTTTACCAATCTCACTTTTACAAATTAATTTTTTTAAACTTTAATCCAAATACAATTCACCTTATCCAATTTAACTTTTATCTAATCTTACTTTTCTGAAAGTCAGATTAAAAATAAGCTGTTTTTTCTACTGTCAATCCAAACGGACCCATAATTAGTTTGTCTTTTCCCACTATGAATTTAACCTTGGTTTCCATGGTGGTTCCTAAACTGAAATTAGGAAAAATTATTTCCAAAAAAAAAAAGAATGTGTTTATCAAAAAAATTTATAACAAGTGATAATTTTCTGTATTAAAACTTATTATTACATATTACGTATTTATTTGTAAAACTTTTTGATAATTACATTTGGTATTTCTCAAGGTATTGGACAAAACTCTATTCAACCATGTTTTTGGTTGACTTTTGCAGCATCAAAAGCTCAAATCAATCTCCTTGTGTGTTGGCCTCATTATATACTTATATAATAGCGTTATATATTTATATAATACTCTTCCAGTCCTAAATATAAAATTTTTATACTAATATATATATATAAAAGAGTCATATATTTAGGACCGGAAAAGCAATATTCTTTAGTCAAACAGATTGTGTTGGATTTGAATTGGGACCACATACATTTAAGTCAGTAATATAATAGTTTTCATTTGTTTCTGATCATTATATTTTTCTGTGTGGCATTGTATCAAGTGAGGTATCTCGACAGCTACGAGCCTTCGTTTTGGCGCGTTTTGAAAAAGGAGTTAATATGCAAATTTGTTACAGTTTTCAATCAGAAGTGTTGGATACTTGAATTTTTTTTGTGTAAATTTGGTCCAAAAGTTGAAAAACATAGCAGTATTGCACCCTAGTAATAAAATTGTGACGTTAAACGTTAACAGTTTTAGCGGTAAAGAATAATATTATCATGATTTTAAATTTTTGAGACAAATTTGCACTTCAAAAAAACTTTTAGGTGGCTGATACCCCTTAGTAAAAACTTTCAGGGTATAAAAATAAACAAAACAACTGAAGCCTTCACAAAAGGCTAAGTTTGTGCATTCTTCCATCAGCAAGCTTAGTTGTTTGTGCTCTTACAAAGGAATGGTCTAGTAATGCTGCAGCAGATAGCCGGAGTTCTTGTGAAGCAGAGTTCCAGAAAATCTTTACCCTCTTGGCATAACCCTTCTGGTATGGGCGGATGTTGCTGTTCAACACAAACTTTATAGAAGGCCTGCACCTGCTTAGTAAATGAATTTGTTCTGGTTATATAATTAATCAATTAATTAATAAATGAAAGCTCCATATATGGGATATAATTCCAAGATTATTTTGATGAAAAAATATACCCAAATTTCTCACTTGTCCTTGCATTTAACCAAGGCACTCCTTCATTAACGCCAGACCTAAAGATTAGCTAGTCGTTTGAGTGCATTATTATATGCTTTGTCTACTGTTCTAAGATTGTAAGTGTTATGTTTGTGCTGGGTAAAGCAACAATAAAGAGAATTTAAGTTTACATGCAAATAGAGAAGTCATATATATTATCCAATGCAACGTTAGCTCTGTGCGCGCGCGCGCGCGCGCGCATATATGTATAGGAGTGTAGAAGTGTTTACCGGCTCAAAACCAGGCCAAGGACGCTTCCCTGAGAACATTTTAATGATTACACAACCCAAACTCCATATATCAGCAGCAGAAGCTTCACGCGAGCTCTTATATTCTATTTTTCGAAGAACCTTCATGTACGAGGAACAAGTTTATTAAAACATACTACTTTATAACATATAATGTAGAGTATGAAAATATATACCTCTAGGGCTGCATAATATGGAGTTCCTGACTTTGAGTGCTTGCCCACGGATTCTGCTAGCTATTGAACATAGAAAAGCCAGTTAAGTTAATGATTTGACTCTTGGGAGCATCATAGCAATGCCAAGGGTTAAGTACTAATTCATTTTGAATATAAGATTCAATCGACTAATTTGAAAATATTAAAAAAGTTAAATAAATTTTTTAAAGTATTATATTTGTTGTTTTCTTCAACCTAATTTGCCCAACTTAAAAACTGATATATAATCTAACAATACACATAAGTATTTTAGAGAGATCATGTAAGATATGCTATAATTAATTAGTTTTTTATCTTCCCCAATTTTTTCAAATCAGTAAATTAGATTGTATATTAATAATTGAAAGTAGTATTGTGGGACACACGCCTGATCCTAAACATGAAACATCATCTTAAATTACTGGAGATATGAAGCCTCATGTTCAAAAATCAACGGCATTGACGTGAATACATGTGGTACAAGGGATCCAAGAACTTACATGCTTGGCCAAACCAAAGCTAATCAGCTTTACTATGTTGTTAGAATAAACAAGTAGATTGTCTGGCTTTATGTCCCTATGTAATCATACATACAAAAATAAAGAAAGAATGAGAGGTTGGGGGAATAAATTAATTAAGGTAATCCCAACATTAGTTGAAAATTAGTTATCCTACAAGATGTGTGTTACAAGGACCAAAACTCACGCAGTATTCCATGTAATAAGTATGGGAACATACCTATGAACAACTCTTTTATTATACAGGCAATCCAACCCAGAGAGAATTTGTTCAGTGAAATGTCGAATTAAAGGTCCATGTAAAACGCCTAGTTCCAAGATATATTTCTTCAGTGAACCTAGTTGGATGTATAGAGAAATGTAGCGTCCAACCTGCTCATTGCATGAACCAATAAGTGATCAATTAATTGTGCATATAGTTCCCTCATCAACTTCAATGAGGAGAATACTTACAATTTCATTTCCATAACACTTCACAGTGTTTGGATTTTCCAATTGACTGAGAATTTTGATTCCCTGAAAAAACAGACACACTTGTTACACCAACTTGTCACAGGAATTCCACTCCATGGGGAAAAGAATTCATAAAATTGGAATGATAGCTTTTATTGTATTTTAGTTTGTGCTATCTAGGAAAGATTAAACGCCTCAGAAACATAAAAATAATTAATCCTTGTTTGTATAAGAAAGAAAGCCAGGAATGGCACACCTCTTCCTGGGTGACCTCCTTTCCTGGGAAGAAGTAGAGAAACAGAGGTGGCAGGAGAAGGTAAAGCAGTCGGACGAGACGAATAAGAAGTTCAACCAGAATTATGGCGTTCATGATCCTTTCAAAGAATGGCATTTGTGAAGTTGGGGGACTTATTGACAACTGGAAAACAGCGAAAAGCTTTATTGAGACAAACCAGTGGGAGGCGTCAACGTAGAGACGAAATTGAAGCCTTATTATTGTGCCCCGTAAAAGCACCGCCATCACGGAAACAAGAGCTCCTCCCACCACCACAAGTTTTGCAGCCGTGCCGGCTTCCATGAGTGAGGCTACACGAGCTCTGAGATGTGGACAATTTCCCCGTACAGTACTCTTTCTCAAACCCAAAATCGATTCAGATCTATCAGTTGCATCTTCTAGCTTCTGGGCCATGTCTGCATCATGATTGACTACCATTGGTCTTTGTCCCGTTGCCAACAAGTCAATCTATTTGACTATATTTGAAAGGGATCACCTAATGTCTTCTTTTTCTAAAAGCAAAAGAAGCAACATTAGTTGCCGTTTTTCCCACAAGCAGCAGCAATGGTGGCTTCTGAATATGAGAGCTTTTGGGATGAATCATTCTTCTTCTGGGCGAACATGTCTACGGATAGAGTAGGTTGCAGGAAGAAAGGAAGAAGAAGACGCCCCCAATAATCAAACTACTTATCTGCATATAGAGAAGGAAAGACCAAAACGTGATCAAAAGAACGCCAAAGAGGTGTTTTTCATGTATTTGTTTCGTAAACCATAAAAGTAATTTTAAAATTATAGTTTGGTTTTCATTAAAAAAAAAAAGAAACCCGGGGAACAGGTCAGCTAAATTTACCTGGAGAGAGACCACACCGTGAGTGCAAGTTGCAGAGGAGGGAAGAAGCAAGCGGTTGGGTGGGGAATGAGTTGGATTTACTGATAATATAGGGTTCAAGACTGGAGAGAAAAACAGAGTCAGCCAATGTCGTCTCCTGACCACAGAAGTCAGTCGCCATGTTTGACTGAAGGGTTTTTTTTTTTTTTTGGGGGGCCAGCGTTTGACTGAAGTTTTTGATCATTACCTTCTAGAAGATTGATCTCTTTGTTTCATGGAACTAGCACCAACCCCCGGGCATGACATTTCATTAACCAAAAAAAAAAAAACCAACTGTTATTTGAAACAAAACATCAACTATCATACTTATATTAGATTAAGCGAGTGTTTGGATGGAAAAGAGCGAGTGGTTGGATTGGGAATGAGTTGGATTTACCAATAATACAGTGATGAAGACTGCAAAATAAGGAGAGACAAACACGGTCAGCAAATAAACTGGCCACACAAGTCATCAGTCGCAATGTTTGACTGAAGTTTTTTATCTTTACCTTGCAGAGCATTGATCTCTTTATTTTATAGCATTGATTAATCATATAAAAACTAGATAATTAATTTAAGGATTATTACAAATATGCATGTTCTTAAACTATTCTCTTCAATCATAAGTATTAAATAATTAGAATTGTCCATTGGTGAGAATCTCTTAGAATTAATAGAGATATTTCGAGAAAAGATGATATAAAAATAAATTGACATCTTATATTTATAATCAAATTTAATCCTAACTGAATCATGTATTAAGGACCGAGGTAATAATTAACATGACGTTTAGGGCATGTCAGAATAGTCATCCTTTTGAAAATACTGGGAATGAAATCAGGTTATTTGTCCCAAAGGAATTGGCCGATCTTAAACTAGTGCCCCGGGGATAAAGTATCATAAAGGGTCCGGACGGACTAAAATTGTATTTGCAAGGATTGATACGTAGAAGTTAGATACTAACGATTAAAATTATAAGTAAAATTAAATTTGTGACCTCTTCTTTATAAAAATATTTTTCTAGCACTGGAGTATGAGGTTATTAGCTTTTTCTTGACATCATATAATGTGATTACCACCTGTGCTCAATCAATACTACTCATCAATTTAAATTGTTCATTAATAGCCAGCCATTTCTTTTAATTTACTATGTAATATGTGATTTTTAATCAATGTGGAATTCATTCATTGTTAAGTACTACGGCTGATCTTTAATATGATTGAGTATTCAACTTGGCTCTAAATATAATATTTCAATCTACTTTAATTCTCTCTAACATTTATCTATTTTGTCATCAAGTAATAATACACATTGTTAATAAAAATATTTTATAAAAAATAATATTTATTGATAAAGAATTATTAACTAAACTAATTTTTTTAATACCTATAAATTAGTTGTATAATTTTTATATTACTGATCAGAGAGAGGCAGAACAATCATAAATAATTATCCAATAGCCATTTTAGACCTCTCATTTGTTTTCATCTGATGTTCTCTGACTTGACTGCTTTGCTTTCGTTTACTTAGAGGCAAGGAAAGTATCAGAGCATTTTCCCACAACGAAAAGAGATATTTTTAAGAAAAAAATTCTTAAAAAATACTTTTAAATTTTAAAATTTCACATCAGCTTAGTTCGCTACACTTTAATAATAATTAATAACATTTGAAAAACAAATAATAACACATTTTTGTGGTTATTTCTAATTTAAAATTTTGGTATTTTAAATTTATTTTTTTGGGTTTTTCTTATTTTTTAAAAGCCATGTCATAAAAATCAATGTATACTAAAAATAACTAAAATCATATCTTTATAATACTACTTTTAGTCCTTAATATAAGAACTACTTGACTAATTAAAGTAGATTAAGAAAATTAGCTAGCTTAGTTGTTTGTAATAACTATGTTGATTTCCTTAAAATATTTTTACTAATCAAATGTATTGTCTATAATTATTATTTGATAAGACTTTTAATATATACAACTACTATAATGACTCTCTTGAAAAAAAAAAGCTAAATAACATTTAAAATCAAACTAAAAGTTAAACTAGTTATTATATTAAGAATAAAATAAAGCTACTGTAAAACTAATTATCACTTGGTAAAACAAAGAGATGGTTCAAGGGTATTACCCGGAAAAAAAAACACAAACAAACAGAACAGAACAGAGATATGGTTCAAAGAAAGCTTTGAGTCTTCGTCTTGGAGCGTTAGCCGCACTCTCCATATTGAATTCAAAGCCAGCAACTAACGAAGGAACTGAACAGTGTTTTATCCTTTGACCAACCAAAAAAAAAAAAAAAGAACAGTGTTTTATCCATTCTTTTATTTACACGTTATTTTGATAAATAAATATCTCCCAAAATTTTTGAGAGGAAGGATTAACATTTAATACGTTTTTTTTTTCAATTTTAACCTTATTTACTTATCCTCTCTTTTATCACACTCCTTCTTATAACATTTTGTTCATAGTTTCTCTTTTATTTTTTTTTCTCATTTATTATAAGAATATATTTATTGCTTTTAAATAATTTTTCAATATACGTAAATTTATTATTTGTAATTTATAGGGTTAATATAATCTTTGGTTTATTAAGTTTGTCTTCGTTTTGGTTTTGATTCCTCAAGTTTTAAACTATAAGTTTTGGATCTTGAAAGAACAAAATAATCTAAGTTTTTATTACATTATAAGGACTAATGTCATGAATGAAAAGAAAGCTAAGAGACCAAAATCTATAATTTGAAATTTGAGATCAAAACCAAAATTAGGAAATCAAAATTTGAATTAATCCAAGTTTATGAAAAAAAAATCACAGAAAATAAACTTCTAAACTGCCGGAGAAAGTAAATTTTTAGACTTATAACAAGGGAAACAAAAGAATATCATTTTTACTTTTAAATTTTTTTTTGCCAAAATTCTTACTTCTAAATTTCACACCAACTTTTAAATTCTTACTTTATTTTATTTATAAATATCGTTTTGCTTTGACCCAAAAAAAACAGTTAGAAAGTGCAATACTTCCATACCACAAGTGAGATTCCACATTTCAGTGCATCCTTATTTTTAATTCAACTATTCTTTCAAAGGTCATCATTCTAAAGGCAACACAGTCTATATAGCTGTTTTTGGTGTCTTGACTTTTCAAACCTGTGAAATTGATATACTACTTTTGATCCTAATTATAAGAGCTAGTTGATTAATTTGAGGAGATTAAGAAAATAAATTAAATTAGTTATTTGTAATACATAGGTGTTGTCTTTCCTAAAATATCTTTGCTAATAAAGTATATTGGTTAGAATTACCCTTATTACAAGGATTACCTTAAAAAAATACATAAATATGAGAGACAAAATAGATTAGGATCTTATATTTAGGATCAAAATAAAAGTCAAACAAAGTATTATATTAAGGACTGGAAGTAGTATACAAATAAACTCTTCCTCCACGTCACTTATGAATTGTAACCTTACTTTATTTTATTTATAAATATCATTTTGCTTTAACCTAAAAAAAAAGTTAGAAAGTGCAATACTTCCATGCCCCAAGTGAGATTCCACATTTCAGTGCATCCCTATTTTTAATTCAACTATTCTTTCAAAGGTCATCATTCTAAAGGCAACACAGTCTATATAGCTGTTTTTGGTGTCTTGACTTTTCAAACCTATGAAATCGATATATTACTTTTGGTCTTAATTATAAGAGCTAGTTGATTAATTTGAAGAGATTAAAAAAATAAATTAAGTTAGTTATTTGTAATACATAGGTGTTGTCTTTCCTAAAATATCTTTGCTAATAAAGTATATTGATTAGAATTACCCTTATTACAAAGACTACCTTGAAAAAAATACATAAATATGATAGACAAAATAGATTAGGATCTTATATTTAAGACCAAAATGAAAGTCAAACAAGGTATTATATTAAGGACAGGAAGTAATATACAAATAAACTCTTCCTCCACGTCACTTATGAATTGTAAACTTACTTTATTTTATTTATAAATATCATTTTGCTTTAACCTAAAAAGAAGTTAGAAAGTCCCCTGGTCAAAAAAAATAAAAAGAAGTTAGAAAGTGCAATACTTCCATGCCACAAGTGAGATTCCACATTTCAGTGTATCCCTATTTTTAATTCAACTATTCTTTCAAAGGTCATCATATATTCTAAAGGCAACACAGTCTACGTAGCTCTTTTTGGTGTCTTGACTTTTCAAACCTGTGAAATCGATATATATATATATATATATATATAAACTCTTCCTCCACGTCACTTATGAATTGTAACCTTACTTTATTTTATTTATAAATATCATTTTGCTTTGACCTTAAAAAAAAAAGGTTAGAAAGTGCAATACTTCCATACCACAAGTGAGATTCCATATTTCAGTGTATCCTTATTTTTAATTCAACTATTCTTTCAAAGGTCATCATTCTAAAGGCAACACAGTCTACATAGCTCTTTTTTGGTGTCTTGACTTTTCAAAACTGTGAAATCGATATATATAAATAAACTCTTCCTCCACGTCACTTTTAAAAATAGTTAACATTGACTCTGTGAAGTTATGTATTTGTTGAATAATTCATGATTATTATTGATGGAAAGGCCTAGAGGACCATTACATTGTGTGTATCAATTAGGAGTGGAAACAAGCCAGCCGGCTTGTCAGGAGCCTATGACCTGACTTGCATTTGGTCTAGCTTGGTCTGACCTGTTTTTTAAAAGAGACTAGGCTCAGGCCTGTTTAAAAGCCTGTTAACTAAACAGGCCAGGCTTAGGGTTTCTAAAAAGCCTGTTAGGCCAGCCTGAACTTGTTAAAAATTTATAATTATAATATATGAAAAAATTAGTTAATAGTATGTGCCCTTTTAATTTATTTTTTAATTTTAATATATAGTTAATAGTTTAATCATTTCTTAGATTTTGAAGTTTAGTTGACAAGTAAAAATACAAATATAATTTAAAATAATAATATCAATAAATAATGTGATCTCTAAATCTTAAAAAATATAAATAAAATAGGAAAGAAAAATTTTGTTCCAAGAATGATAAATTAATTAACTTATATATTATGTTAATTAAATTATGATACATTCTTTATTCATTGCAAAATTAATAGTTTTTCTCTCTTTATTTATTTGTCTTAATTTTAATTTTTTGTGTGCACTTAGACGTAGTCTTGTTTCAAATTTTGACATACAATTACAACTAATTTTCAATAATATCCTTGTAAATTATAATTAAGATTTAAAATAGTACTTATGATATTAAAATTTAAATAAAAGACAAGACTAAAAAATTAATTATTATGTACGCTTTTTTTAATCTTAGTTTTTTTAAAAATATATATATAACTGTAATTTGAATTTTTTAAAAATACAGGTTTTTTAACAAGCTTTAGGCCAAGTTAGGCCTTTATACATGCCAGGCTCAAGCTGAAAAGTAGCTTGTAACAGGCTACAGGCCAGGCTCAGACTAATAGGCCACAAAACTTGCCTAGCCTGTTAAGAGCAAGGCCTAGCCTGGCCTGGTCTATTTCCATCTTTAGTATCGGTGTATAACACATATAAATATTGACTCCTTGGGCCGAGGCCCAATACAAGAAAGGAAGACTTCTGGGTAAAAGAACATCTAACACAAATATCAACCAAAAAACCAATTGAGATTGAGTCTAGCGAAAGGGGTTAGTTTGGTGAACCAAGGTTCGAATTTCTATTGGTAGAGGTGTCCACATTTAGTGCCGACAGTGTTTCGAATAGGATTGCCTCCAATAGAAGGATACCTTTGTTTTAGCCAAAAAAAAATATCAACCAAAATAATACAAGAAAATAAATCCTCTTAACAGATTCCACAGTTAAATTATTGTTCAAAGTCATCATAAATGATATATGGTTTGCAATTGAGATTTTCGGGCTTTATGTCTTATGGCTCAATTATGTGACTGCGTAAAACATTGTTTTAATAGGCTTTGAAATCCGGTCAAATAAAAGGCATTGCAAATGTTGATTGTGCTTGCCTTTTTTAAGTATATAAAAAAAATAAAAACTAGAAAAATCATTTCTTTAAGGTTGTTGAAAACTACTATTTTTTAAATTATAAATAAGTTTCTTTTAAAAACAAAGTCTTAGCCCCATCTTTTATTATTCACTATAATTTTAATTGAATTTTTACTTCATAACCTTCTTTTCTTTATTTTAAATACAAGACAATAATTATTGTTAAAAATAAGATATTTTCTTTCTTTTTTTACCAGCAAATAAGATATTTCCTCTTTCCTAAATTTTTAAAACATTTATATAAATAATTTTTTTGAGTTGTTAAAGATTATTTTTCAAAATTTTCCATATCCTTATAAGTTTTTTGTAAAAACAAAATATTAGCACAATTTTTTATCTTTTCGTATAATGTTTTAAAATTTTTATTATGCAGCTTTCTCTTTATTTTTTAAATTATTCCACATCCTTAAAAGTTTCATCTAGAAACAAAATCTTAATACAATCTTTCAAAGATATTTTTCACAAATTCTATTGTGAAAAATAAAATAATACAAAATTTGGACAAAAAAGCTCTAACCCTCTTTCAGATTTCATTATACAGTTTGAAATGAGAGAGAATAGAAGATATAATGCCTAATGAAATTTGTGCATGAATATCTTTATGAGACTTGTTCAAAAATAAGATCTTAGAAATATAAATTTTATTTTTTAAATTTATTTATTCTATTTTAAATAAATCACAAAAATTATGGACATTGGAGGAAAATAAACCCTGGCCCTTTTCAATTTGACAAGAGGCGGGAGAAAAAAAAGAAACGCATGTTGTGAAGCAATGGAGAGGAAAGAAGCGCAAGAGGAGAGATAACAGAGTGAAGCGAGAACCACATAAGGCTAAATTGCAAGTGGTGCAGTAACAAACAGATGGAGAAGAGACCAATATTATTTAAGTGCATCATAATTAAATCAGTGAGGTTTACTTGCCTCATTGAGAAGCATCCAAATCAGAACCATCAAAATAAAAAGCAAAGAAAATTTATAATAATAAAACTATTGTAAATTTAAATAAAGTAAATTCACCTCATTGAAGTTTACTCATTTCCGTATGACATGTAAAAGCAGCTTGTCCTCTCAATTTCCCAAGTAAAGCCATGAGATTCATTAAATTGCCCAAATAGCATCTACTATCAACAAATCCAAAATAAAATCATGCTAATAGACTTCTCTTGCCTCAGTAATTATAGTTACCCCTTACCATGAGCCTCCCTTATCATTAGGTAATCTAACTCTGGTCCTTAATATAAGAGTTAGTTGGCTAATTTGAATAGATTAAGAAAAGGAACTAGTTAAGTTAGTTATTTATAATAAATAGGTATTGTCTTTCTTAAAATATCCTTACTAATCAAATGTATTGGTTGTAACTACCATTATTATAAGGACTATTTTAGAAAAAAAAAAGGTTAAATATGAGAGATAAAGTAGATTGAGTTATTATATTTAGAACCAAAATAAAAATCAAACAAACTCTTATATTAAGGACGGGAGGTGGTAGTTACCTTTTACACATAAATAGCAATGACCATTTTGTTTTCTTATTATTCACCCTACATAATGTGTGCTATAATATTTTTATATCTTTGAAATGCTCAAAGTATTGGCTACAATTAATTTTTTAGTTTCAATAATTTTATAAGTTTGTTCCTTGTGGGTAATTAATTTATTTGTTTTGGTTGTTTCAACTTCTTTTAGGATTACTTTTCCTACGTGTTTATATTGTTTTCTTAATATTTTTAAATTAGTTTTGAGTACATTATGATTTATGTTGAATCAGCCCTCTAACAATTAATATTATTTGAAAATAAATATTTAAAAATATGGATTCATTATGATATTTCCAAGTGAAAACCTACGCAGTTTGATTGTACACCTATTTTATAGTAACTACATGAGTTGTTTGAGTAAAAATGATTCCAAAAGGCTAAGTTTTCGCGATGGTTTGGAACCTCTCTTCTTTCTTCTTTTTTTTTTTTTTAACCATTGGATTAATACTTTAACAGTTCAGATTTAAATCTTTTTAAAATTATTATTAATTATAAAGCTAAATAATAAACTACAAAGTCTATCAAAATTTAATTATAATGGTTTGCAAATGTACTAAATATTTTTAAAATTATTTTTATAAATAGTTTATAAAAATTAAAATATTACATGTTAAAATATGTTAATCTAATGGTTAGAAAAGAAAGAGGACGAGAGAGGATGGGAAGGGAAGAGGAGAGGTTCCGAGAGGGGGAAGGTAGCACCAGTTTAAATATTCTAAGACTGAACTTGTTCCACAATGTTCTTTTTTGATTTTGCTCCGGGGAACAGTTTTCCAACACAAGTTTAAACCAAGTTTTGAAAATTTATAAACATAAGGACAAAACTTAAGCATGCATGGTTTGGTTTTGTATAGGATTTGCCAGCAGTTTTTCCCATAAAAAATATCAACATATCGGTGAGTTTCAGCACCAAATAAAAAATCTCTCTCCCCCCCCCATATATATATATATATATATATATATATATAAAGTAGAAGTATGTCGAGATTGGAAGTTAATTCAGCCCTATATAACTTGGCAGAATAGCCGTAATCATCTATACTATCATAATTCTCTTCTCTTTCTTTCTCTATCTTTAGGATTTTCTTTCCTCTGTTGTGCCTTTTCTGCAAGTCTGTGCTTTCATGAAGACAAGAATGGATGTTGTAGTAATTCTGAAGCTGATAGCCGCTTGGCTGGATTTCTTTCGAAGCACAATTGGACAAACTCTTGACCCTCAGTCGACAAATCCATTGGTATTTCAGGATCTGGCTTGTTCCAACACACTTCTCGGTTGACCTGCCGCTGCATAAAATGATTCTATTTAATACTCCCTCCGTTCCTTATTATAAGAGACAAATAACCGAAGTACGTTGATCAAAAAAACAGTTAAAATTAGTTAAGAACAATTAATGTGTAAAAAGTATAATTTTTTTCCAAAAATGCCCTCATTAATAAGGAGAGAGAACATGAAAGAGAACAATTAAATTATTAAAAGAAAGAGAAGTGGGAGGGAGAGAGAGTGTGAGTTGGAAATAATAAATATGGGTAAAATAGTAAATCAATACAAAAAAGTAGAGACAACTTGTAAGTGTCTCTTATATATAGGAACATGCCATAAACATCAAATGTCTCTTATAATAAAGGACGGAGGGAGTAATAAGTTTAACTATAATTGAAACATCAGTTATTTACCACCCTACTTAGTGTATATATATTTGTCTGAATAGAAAATGAAAGACAGTAACTGTTGAGAAGTGTTATACCCAATCAAGATCAAGCCAAGGGCGCTTCCCTGTGAACATTTCAATGATTACACAACCCAAACTCCATATATCAGCGCTATAGGCTTCACCCGAGCTGCTATATTCTTGATTCTGAAGAGTCTGTATGAGAAACATGGTTTATTAATTAATTAATAGTTCTGGTAAATTATGATGATATATATATAAAGTATGAAAAATGCAGATACCTCTGGAGCTGCATAATGTGAAGTTCCCCACAAGGAGTCACTGCCCATAGATTCATGCCCCTGTTCAACACAGAAAAGCCCCTTAGCCTTGCTGACTCAGAGGGACTAAAAAGTGAAGAGGACAAAAACATTATTGTTGAATAAGTGAAGAGGAGGAAAGAAGTGTTAAAGGGATAAGGAAATATTAATACTCCTCCGGTCTTTATTATAAGACCCATTTAACTAATTTGATTAAATTAGGTAAGTTAGTTAATTATAAAAAATGTGGCACGATTTTCCTAAAACACCATAATCATCTTTCTTAATACCTCCTCTTTCTCTTCTACTTGATTATAGTTGAGGGAGTATTCATAAAGGTAATTTAGAGAAAATTGATAAATGAGAAATGGGTCTTATATTTAGGACCAAAACCAACTCAACAATTGGGCCCTATATTAAGGACCGGAGGAGTAATTTCATTATATAGAAAATAACTGTAACTGAGCTAATAGGCAAGGTTAATTTGTTTACTAGATGCAACAGGAGAGATATTCAAGTACTTACATGTTTAGCCAAACCAAAGTCAATAAGCTTTACAAAGCCATAAGAATCAACGAGAATGTTATCCGCCTTGATATCCCTATATAAGCATAAGAGCAAAGGGGAAAAAGTTGAATTACTTAAGATTAAAACAATACTCCCTCCGTTCCTTATTATAAGAGACAAATAACCGAAGTACGTTGATAAAAAAAACAGTTAAAATTAGTTAAGAACAATTAATGTGTAAAAAGTATAATTTTTTTCCAAAAATGCCCTCATTAATAAGGAGAGAGAGCATGAGAAAGAATAATTAAATTATTAAAAGAAAGAGAAGTGGGAGGGAGAGAGAGTGTGAGTTGGAGATAATAAATATGGGTAAAATAGTAAATCAACACAAAAAAGTAGAGACAACTTGTAAGTGTCTCTTATATATAGGAACATGCCATAAGCATCAAATGTCTCTTATAATAAGGAACGGAGGGAGTATATTTTATTACCAATTTGGCTGGACCATACGGTTGATGAGTATAATTAAGCGCAAATCACGACGAAATATTTGCATATCATTATAAACCAAGCAGTTGGAGGGAGATCGATGAACATACCAAAAATAGATAATACTTGCAGTTCCATGGAACTGATGCAGTATTGCACATAATACTACTGAGTACAGAGACAGGATTATGGAATGCATACCTGTGGACTATTCTTTTGCTGTGTAAGTAAGCCAACGCAGAGAGAATTTGGAAACTGATATCTTTAACTAAACGTTCGTGGAAAGCTCCGCGTTCACTGATGTATCTCGTCAGTGTCCCAGTTTCAACATATTCCATGAGTAGCCATATCTGGTTTCCAACCTAAACCGACATGTGTTAACTAGACACCGCACGCAAAATGTAAAAACTTATGGCTACTCAGTGCACAACTTACTCTTTCACTGCCATAATACTTTATAATATTCGGATGTTCCAGTTGGCTGAGAATTTCGTTTTCCTAAACACAAAAACACACTTTAGCCCGGTATGGTATGATGAAGTGTGTGAATTTTGTTTCGTTTTCTTTTAATGTATTTCTGTTATCGTCATTATCTACCAATAATTCTGTACCTTTTTTATGATCTTAAAGCGATAGCACAATCACTTTACCGTTCAGAAGCTACGCATGGCGTAATTTGTATTCTGTAAAGTTATATTAATGTTTGTTAGGCAAGTAAAAAGGATCATATGAATATAATAATGTGCCTTGTTCATTCCTTTGTCAATCCAGGCACAAATTCTTTTCTCTCTTTCTTCTATTCTATTTGAAAGACACCTTAAAATCTTTGACTTTCTGATTCTTCAAACAAACATTGTAATAAAAGACATACCTTAATGTTGTCAGGATTGTCAGGGTCTTTTAGTTTCTTTACTGCACTTAAGTGTCCAGTTTCTCTGTCATAAATGAAAAGCACAACACATTCGTGTTTTTTATGGCTACACAAGTGTCTACATAATTCATTAATTATTCACTAAGAAATGATGAAATGAAGAAAATAAGATCAAAATGTGAATCTAGTCTGAGAATTGTATACATACCTGTTACAGGCAACATGAACAGATGCGAATTCACCGTCGCCAATAGGGGGATCCCGTATTTCCCATTGGCTAAAAGCTGAGGTACAAGAAGAGACTGAACCAGAAGAATCATAATTGTTTTGATCAACCAACTCATCAGTGTTCAAAGAAACAGCTCCAACTTCGGCAGCCCTGGCAGCATCCTCTGTTTCCCATTGGCTAAAGTTGGTGGCAGAAGAGATTGAATTATTAGAAGAATCATAATCCTGTAGATGAACCAAGTCAGTGTTGAAAGAAGAGGCTCGGGTGAGGCTAATATTTTGTTCCAGTCCTTTGCCCTGCTTGATCATTGAGGCGGCCATTTTAGAACAAGTTCATAAAAGCATCTTCATTAGTAAAGTATATTTACCACTCAACAAATTGTCTACAACATATGTACTTTTTGGGACACAGTGAAGTCAAGTGCACGGGTTAATAGCAGCTAAGGAATATAATTGTTAAGAGAAGGGAACAAATGGCTCACCTTGGTTTTGTTGAATTTCACTCTTTCGGGGATAAACATATGGGTCAAGGCCAGAAGAACTAACTCCAGAGATAATGCAAGGAACAAGGTTTTGGAAAATGTGCGAACGATGGCGTAGAAAACAGTAATAGCTGCAGTGATGGGGAGGTTAGCAGATAGGAGAACCTTTTGTAGGTGACAGACGAGAGATACCTTTAATTTCGCCGGCCTATGCAACGACGGCATAAGACGGGAAAAATTTAATGCTCCAAGCAACATGACTATGTAAAACAGTTCACATGTCCCCTTTAGGCTTTCAAGCTGGAGCAGTAAATCAACACATAGTGCTGCCAGGAGGATGAAGGCGAAGTGGTCAGTAACTTGAACATCAATAGGATCCAGTGTTTCCCATTGGCTAGAGTCGGTGGTATAAGAGATTGAATTATTAGCAGCATCATTATTCTGTTGATGAAGCAACTCAGTGCTGAAAGAGGAGCCTTGGGTGGGGCTGATACCCCGTCTCAGTTTCCTTACCTGCTTGATCATTATTGAGGCAACACATATTTCAGAACAATTTCATAAAAGCATGTTCATTAGTAAAGCATATTGATGACTTAGCTCCTCAGCGAAGTCAATTGTGGGGGTTAATAGCAGCTAAGGGATGTAATTGTCATGGCTCTACGAGAAGGGAGGAAATGACACACCTCGGACACATATGTAATGAACCAGAGCAGAAATGCAGCAGCCAGAAGTAATTCAGCTTCTTGGGGTCGGGCAAATCCAGGAGTGGCGTTGAAAAAAACAGCAATAATGAGTAGAGTAATGGGGAGGTCATAGAATGGGAGGACCTCTCGCAGATAATAGAGGGGAGAGACCTTGTTTTGCCCCAATGTACACTGCATCAAACGCCAAATGTATGCTACTGCAAGCACTCTCACCATCTGAAACCGATCAGAAGTTCCTTGCCGTCTTCCAACCTCCATCGCCATGGCAGCACAGAGCGCTGCCAGCGAAAGAAAGTCGATCAAGTAATATGTAGCAAACAGCATCCCATGATGAGAAGGAGATAATCTCAACAAGCCTTCCCTAACAAGTGGATCCATCACTTGGGTAGCCACTGAATGAGATATGGGTATGTTTCTAAAGCAGTTCAGTGATTCTACTTTGTTCAAACCAAAAAAAACATCCTCTTCATTAGTCCATAAACAACTAGTCAACAAAGGAAGGCGCGGTTTATAAGTGAAATTTGACCTTAAAAGAAAAACAAAACTTCTGGATTCAGAAAAATTCTGTGCTTTTTTCAAAATAAAAAATGAAACCGTACAACTACGTCAACAAACAGGAGGCCTGTGAGATTTTTCTACTGCAATAATTGAATATAATGAAAGCATATTAAGTATATAAGGCTAAGTAGATAAATCTCATCCATAAATAAATAATTGGGTTAGATATAGAAAAGCAAGCTTTTATGAATTTTGCTTAAGTAATTTAATGTTCCACTGAGGTCAAAGTCAAAGATTAAAAGCTTCCTCCCCCGAATATACCGTAAGCCATGCAGATGTGGGCCAGATAATATGTGGAGTGAGGACTTTCGGCTTTGAGTGACCTTCTATCTCAACTCCCTCCCTCTTGTTCGGCTTTTCCCGCTTCCTTGAACTGTATTGATAATACTAGCTGCTGTTTCAGAGTTATTTAAAAAATTAAAAAAATTAGTTTAATTAGTTAATTATAATAAATATGTATTAACTTTTTTGAACTACCTTCTTTATTATGTATATTGAAATTATCCCATAAAATAAAATCTCTTACAATCAATCAATAGAGAATAATTTAGAGAAAGCATTATAAATTTAATAGACAAGTGAATTGAAATCTTATGCTTAATACCAAATTAAATTTTTAAGTAACTCTTATCATTAAAGACTAGAGTAGTACTACCTCGGTCCTTAATATAAGACCCTTGACTTTTATTTTGGTCCTAAATATAAAACTCCAATCCACTTTATCTCTTATTTATATTTTTTTTTTCTAAAGTAACCCTCTAACAATGATAATTCTAGTAATACACTTAATTGGCAAGGATATTTTAGAAAAGACAACACCTATTTAAGACAAATAACTAACTTACTTACTTCTTTAATCTCCTCAAATTAGTCAATTGGCTCTTATAATTAGACCGGAGTAGTATCATGATTTCCATGAGCGGGGGATGCTTATAAGTTTCCAGTCTTTTTTTTTTTTGGGAGGGGGGGGGTTTTGATGTAGTCCTATTCTCCAAATCAACCTCCCATGAAGTATTTGGATTAACTGATAAATGCATGTAAGTCATTACTCATTCCGTTCTCGTTACAAGTTTCAAATAACTAATTTACAGATAGTAAATTATCAATTAAAATTAGTTAAAAATAATAAATAAGTTAAAAATATATTTTTATTTTAAAAACAATAAATAGATCAGAAAGAGACTTTTATTTCTAAGCATACCCTTATAATAAATGAAAAAATGATGATAGAGAATATACAGAGAAATATGATAACAGGGAAATAATTAAGAACAACATTGAAAAAATATATTAAATGTTAAAAAAATTTTAATTAAAGCTTATAAAACGAACCACACCCTTTTTTCAAATTTAAAAGCTTATAAATAGGATCAGATGAAGTATAAAATACAAAATAATTAGTTTTTTGAAGAAAATAAAATGATGAAGTAAATTTCTTGCATCTATGTATAATCCGTAATATAATTTATTTTTATTTTATTTAAATTCATGTGTCAAAATTAATCCAAATATATAGTAAATGAAAGCCGCATTATTAGTTACTAACATTTCTCAAAAAAATTATTAAATACTAACATTATTTCTCTTACAAATTCAAACATTATGAGTATAGGGGGCTAATAATTATAATTAGAAACTATCAAAATTTAATAGAGAAGTTATAACGACTCCAATGAAAATAAGATAAAATTATAGGATCTTGTATGTTAATTTTGCTTTGTTTTAAATAGATAGATCTCCCATAATATTGAACTTTAAGAGAGGATTAAACCCTTCCCAACTAAGTTTGCCGACCTACAAGTGTTTGGGATGGACAGATTTTGATTTTACTTTAATTAGTAAATTTAACATTTACTTACTTTTCATAAAGACAGGTCTGAAATTCATCACTTGTACCATTATGATGTCTTACTTACGAAAAGAAGGGGACAAACCACCAAAAAAAAAGAAGCTGTATAATACTAATATACTTCCAGTTTTTAATATATGATCCAATTATTAAGTTAGTTTTAGTCCTAAATATAATACCCATTTTTCATATTTATCAATTTTCTTTAAATTACCCCTATAGATACTCCCTTTCAACCATAATCAAGTAGAAAGAAGAGAGGGTATTAAGAAAAATGATTGTGATATTTTAAAAAAAACGTGTCATATTTCTTATAATTAACTAACTTATCTAACTTTCTTAATTTAATCAAATCAGTTAAATTGGTTTTATATTAAGGACGGGAGGAGTATGTTATTTACTTGGAGTGGGGACCACACACAGGTTAAATGAAATTTTACCAATTAAATTTTAAACTTTATAACAAGAAGGGCAACAAGGTCATACAACTTGATGTTTCCACTAACATTGTCAAAATGAATATACAATTTTCCTTATCCTT